ACTCCAATCTCATCATCGTCATTACCATCATGATTGTTGGTGCTGCAAAGGCTGCACAATGGTAATCATCCGTGGTGGTGACAATGATGGGCGATGGCTATAACAACGCTCAAGATGCAAAGGATTTGCCATCATTATCATCATGACTGTTGGTTATGCAGAGGATGCACGGTGATGGTCATCATCGATGAGAGTGCACGATGATGGTTATCAGCGATGATGATAACGGTGATGATGAGATTGGCAGAGGGTGCGTGGTCATCATTATCTTATCATGCACAATGGCTTTTCCAGATGCAGAGGATGCGCAGTCATTGATATCATCATGACTGTTGGTGATTCCACGGCATGCAGGGGTTGTTATCATCGCTGATGGTAACAGGCATGATGACTACCATGGACATTGGAAATGATGACAGCTTGTGTTTTTCTTTAACAATGCAATATTGCCCTTATGAAGGTCGCTCAAACTCGGCCACCAGACCGGGCCGCAGGCCAAGCCCGGCTTACCTTCAGGTATAAGGCTGTGCGCCCCATGCTGCCAACCATGCGCAGACCATGCGAAAACGTTTTGTGCTGGGCCTGCCCTTATAAGGGGCAGCGATTTTTGAGTTTTTTGTAGCGTTTCCAGTCACAAAACCAGCACTTTTTGGGGGGGGTGCCTAATACTGGACAACACCCCCAGCATCCCGCATGATGCGAATGCAGCTGCAGAAAAGGAGTGACGGAGAAACCAAAATGCAGGAAAAGGCAACGAACAGAAACTGACTGAAATTGTTGGGAAACGAAGATTGAAGAGAAATGACGGGATGTGCGGGAAGGTGACGGAACCAAGGGTAAAGTTATGTGAATGAAGGGGCGTTCAAGGAAATTAAAAGAGCTGAAGCGGAGCGGAAATGAAGCGAAGGAAGTGAAGCGAAGGAAGTGAAAAGTTCAAATCCCCAGAAGTTGATGGGAATTAAAGGAAAATGGCATCAGGGTGTCAATCCGGCCACCGGACGTGATTGGGCCGCAGGACAAGGCCGGAGGACTTACCATCAGGTATAAGGCCGCCGTGCCCCCCATGCTGCCAACCATGCCATGCGAATAGCGGTGCCTACGCACCCGGCATCTCCAACATCATCTTGATAAACATGCCCACGTTGTTTGCATCACCAATGAGCTCCTTGAAAGCAATAGTATACAAAGACATGGTGTGGTCCAGCGCCTTGCACCAGCGGTGCACCTCGTGTGCTCAAGGCAAAAACAAGGTGCCCGGCTCATCTCCAATGTTATCATCATGAGAATCATGTCCATGCATTTTTTGTATGAGTAATGGGTTCTAACGACATACTCCCTCACTCCTCCAAATGAGCACAGCTGAAACAAATGCTCTTCAAAACAAGAAAGTTGCCCAAATAGAACCTTGGATTACTAAATTGTGAAAGTTTGTTTTTTTAACCATTGAAGATTGAAATAGACATGAATTGAATTGTACATTGAAATTGGCACAATTTGTGAGCTTGATACATGCATTTTTATTTAAAATCCTGGACAATAGTTGGAATTTGGTAAACTCCAGAATTGCTGAAAGTTTACAACAAATTATTTGTTTAGATTCGTTTTCAGTTTTTACTAAAAAAAAGGACTTCATCTCTAAATCAAAATTCCCAACAACTCCCAGATGTTGAACCTCCAAAGTGCTTGATAAAAAAAGTGTCCCAATAACAGTGTCCAAGTATCATTGCTCATGCATTATATATGTGTGTGCAAAACCCTAAGCATTTGCGCAGAGTAAGGGCAGCGTGCAGCTTGCAAGGAATTTATGCAAAACAGCTTACGCAGATTTTTTCTAACGCAATTAGAAGGGAAACATCAGCATAAAAATTCGTCCACCGGACGTGATCGGGCCGCAGGCCAAGCCCGGAGGACTTACCTTCAGGTATAAGGCCGTGCGCCCCATGCCGACCATACGCAGACATCATGCGCGGACCATGCGCAAACGTTTTTTGCTGGGCCTACCCTTATAAGGGGCGAAGGATTTGCGGATTAGTCTAGCGATTTTTGGTTTAGCGATTTTTGAGGTTTTTATCGCGTCCCGATAACTCACAAGACTTAGAGGGAAAGGAAATAAAAGAATAGGAAAGGGTGCCCGGTGGCCGGCATCGCGTCAGCGTGTAAATAACAAACAACGCATAAATCCCATATAACAAATAAATATATAAACCAACAACTAAACACACGCATCGCAACAACATACATACGTTTATACGCCTTTGGCATATTCATCAAAATATAGCTGCATGAACAAATAAACATATCTGACTACATACACTGGTACAAGAACCGACCACAATCGACCGAGCCACCATTTAAAGAACACATAGCCCTCCAAATAATTGTTCAAAGGGGTTGCGAATGAGAAACCCTCCACACTGTAATCAGAATATTTATGGTCTCAATACAATCCTTGAATCCTTGTCGTAGCCCCCGTTCGAGGCACAACGTCTCCAAGGCGAACAGACTTTCCCCTTTCGGAGCCGTGAATCACATCATGTGCTGGGGTGAGCTGTTGAGTGACATAGAATTCGACCATATTGCTCACATGATAGTCCCGGCATAAGCGATCGGAAACCAGCTATTGTTGAGGCCAACCCTGACCTGATTCCGGCCTTGCCTGGAAGACCAGTCCAGCCAACAGGCCAACCTCCGGCCTTGCCTGGAAAGCCAGTCCAGCTAGGGGGGGGTGCCCGGTTGCCGGCTGTGTCGAGACGGACATGATGGAGAATCGCAAAGGCGCGCACAAACACGCTCGCCGTAGCAGTCCCGGCAAGCACTCTGGCAAAATGCAAATGGATCAATCGATCTCCCAATACCATCCAAAATATTTGTATAATCATGGATTTGGATGGTATCCAAATCTGAAATAACATGTTATTTGTGGCGTATTGAGAAGCATTCTTTTGTTCAAAACCTGGGTAAGCGGATATTTGGGCTCGGTGGTGGCTTTTCCTTGGTTGGGGATTTGTCCGCATATTATTCTCTAAAAAAATATCCCGCCTTGTTCGGACTTTCAGGCTTCCATGGTTGGGGGTTTTATTTCTTCTTGGGTGGTCTATTCTATATACTAGTTTTATGAACGGATATTGGTACTGTCTTTACATATTGGATAATGAGGGAGACCTTCGGGTCAATAGATCTTTTCCTGAAATTCAATATCTTTGTCAATATTCAATAAAATAAATCTACCGATAATATATTTCCCAAATAAAATGCTCTCATTTATATCTTTAAATAAATCTCCCTTAATAATGGAAGAATAAAAATATAATTTTATTATATTTACATTTTCGTTTGTTGTTCCATTAAACAAACATCTAATTTATCTTTATTATGATAACTTAAACAACCGAAATACAATACCGAACCTTACAAACATTTTTTTTTTTTTTTTGTAAAGATATTCATATAATATATATATAATGCATAATATATTAAATAAATATATAAGAAATTATAAAATAAATTATAATCTATAACAAAAATATTCAATACCTTATTTGGAAAAAAACACCTTTAATATACTAAATATCACTATATCATAATATATATAATAAAACTTCCGAACAACAAATATTATAACAAAAAATATTCCCCAAAACAATATATTAAATAAAACAATATAAACAACTATTAAAAAAAACAAATATTATCATAAATAAAACCATATATACAAATTCCACATTTCACAACATTCATTCTCTATATCATTATAATTCAAATATAATTAATGAAATTATATATATATATTTTTTTTTAAACATTATAAAAACAAATAAAATATAAAATAATAACAATATCTTTTTAAACAAAAAAATAAAAAATCTTAATAATATATTAAACCTTAATATTATAAATATAAAAACATTTTTTTTTTTGAAGGTAGAAACCAATACAACATAACATAATATAAATTTAAACATAAATAATCGATTAACCCAAAAAATATATATTTCAAAACCTATATATAAATTACCATAAACAAACTATTTAAAAATACATAAATACTACTCCACCAACTCCAATCCAAAATATCATTAAGAAAATCAACCGAAATTAATCCTCTATAATTTTCATTCTATCCTTAAAAATCATAATCAAATTTAACAATCAATACCTTCCCTATATCTTAAAAAACCATTTTATACAAACACACAATTTCATTCCCAACAAACTAAAACACAATACACAACCAACCAAAAACAAACTAACCAAAACAAACAACACAAACTATTTACGATAGACATTTAAAAATATATATTTCCAAAATACTTCAAATATTTCAAGAAAAATCAACAAACATAAATTTCATGGTAGATATTACATTGCATCATAGTATCCACTCCATCATATTTTGTAATTTGTATGTTTTAGGTTGTTGCCAAAGAACGTAATGTTCCAGCAACAAACCTGACGTGCCGCATGCAATGCCACACACATATTTCAAACCCTTTTCTAGTGGCCCAAGCAAACCGGAAAATCAACCTTCTTCAAACTGGAGCCTTTTGGTGTAGACGAAACCCTTAATCATTAAACCTTGGCCCAAAACGGTCCAGGATATGGCGATCTCATCTCATTCATGGCTTGACACCCAGCCTCTCAACACGGAAACGCAATTTGTGACCGTGAATGTTTCCTTGATTCTCACAGACATCTTTTGGAATAGGAAGCACAACATTTTGTGTTGTAAAATAGGCTTACGAAGAACACATCAAAAAACGTGCAATCAAATGCCAGCTGGGCGCCCAGAAAGGAAGGAGCCCAGCTCAAGAAACGCAAGCAAAACAAAAATAAAAATGGCGCAAGTACCCAGAATTTTGAGAGGAGATCTTCCAAAGCCGCTCATGCAGTCCGCCTCCACAGAAGAGTTCGTTATGAATGGGGGCAAGGGGGTGTGTATCAACAGACGGGGACCAAAGGGAAATAATCAATTTTGGGGTTCCCCTATCTTTTTGACGAAGGGAGAAGGTCAAAGGACAAGGCTTTTTTGATTTTGGGCCCTTGGCACCGGCCCTGCCATGCCGAATCGATGATGCTCGTGCCCAGGCCTGCCAGCCCCAGCCAGGTCCTGCAAGCGGGCCTGCAGACCCACTCCACCGCAAAAACGTTCGATCTGATTCGCACGAGCAGCAACACCGTGCAAGTGCATGGAGCGCCACCAAACAAACGAGTCCAAAGCGTTTCTTTTGGATCCTCCCAGATGCGAAAACTGTGGGATAATTATTGCTTGCTCGTGCCTTACGCTCCGTTTGGCATCAGCCGGCGCCGGTCCCTTCAAGAGGAGATGGCGGCATATGGTCCTATGTTTGTGTGCGCTTCCATATCAATCATTGTTGTGGCTGGTAACCCTTCGGCGAAGGGGGCTTCAAGGCCGAAGAGCTTCGACAAAAAGGGGGAGGGCCGAAGCCCTTCAACCTTCGGCAAACAGGCTCTTCCAGGGGGCTTCAAGCAGGGGCTTGAAAGGGGGGGCTTCAAGCAAGGCGACAAAGGTTTGGGCCTGCCACGCCTACTACCAACTCTCCCGCTGGCTGTTACACTGCGCGGAATGCGCGGAATTGAATTTTCATGGGGGGCTGCCGCCCCCCAAAGGCTTCAAGGCTTGTACATGCACACTGCACAAAATGTACGTCTTTGAACATCATCCCCCCACACCACCCCGTGGCCGCTGGCTCGCACTGCACGGAATGCGTCTTTGAATATCATGCAGGGTGGCTGCCTTTTTCAACCCCCTCGCTTGGGGTGCCTCAAGCGTGGGTTTGCTGGCTGTGAGGCCTGTGCGAAAGTGCCGCGCCCCAACTCCCCCACTCCCGCTTGAAGAAAAATTGGTGGCCCCCCCCCCTTTTGCTGGCGTTTAAGCTGGTGCAGGCACATGACCGTGAGCGGTGCCAAAAAAAACACCCCCCCATTCGTGCCGCAACAAAAATGAGCAAAGCAAGGCAGGGAGCTGCCGCGCCACGCCGCCCCCAATCAGGGGAGCCAAGCCCAAAACGAGCGCAGACACTCGCATGTGCGAATGCCGGCGCCGAGAATGCCACCCCTCATCATGGCTGCAGCAGGGTTGCAAATATCAAATGGCCTCAAGACAACGCATGCAGCCAAAAACCCGACACGAGCAAACCGAAAGACATGAAACTGCACTTCCATGCAGTTTCCACAGCTGACCACCTCAAAGAAATCATTCACGCAGGTGACCCGAGCAAAGCCTCTCCTCAGAAAAAGAACCGAACGCAAATCGAGCCGCTCGACTCGCGAGGCGCGCGCAACCCGCGCGCGCACGAAAACCCACGCACAAGCAGCGTCTCTCACAATTGCAGCGCTTCAAAAACCGTGAGCTGACTGGGCAGCCTGGTGCAAACTGGGGTGTGGTGACACATGGGTCAGCTGACAGCACAAGAGGTGACGTGACTCCCAACAGCGCAGGGTCAGGCCGCTTACAGCCTCCAGGGGTGGCCGCGCCGCTTCGGCGCTAAGATCAACATCGTCTTATCCGTGTGCTTGGACGACATGTCAGTCAAAGATCGGCATCTCATTGGAAGACACAAGTTTTGCGTCTTCCAGCGACCTCGCGGACTTTTGAGAACAGGGCGAACGTGTTGTTCGATGCCTGCATGGCTGCCTGTGGCGGGCTGATGGGCCTTGCTGTGTTTTGATGCACTGTGTTGGAGGCATTGCTGTGTTGTGTGCGTGGCTCATTGTGGCGCACGGCATGACAGCGGCAGCTTCTTCAGGCAAGACCTTCCTTGCAGCCATGGAATGAATGGCCGCGGCTAGAGTCCGCAGCAACATTTTAGGATCTTTGAGTCATGCTTTCGGGCCACCCGTGGTTCTAGTTTTTTCTGGTGCTGTGTGAAGCATTTGATGAATCAGTTCCCGCGCCATAGGTTTCGTCAGGGTCTAGCTGATCACTGTACCAAATAAGTCAAATTTGCTGCCCAAGACATGCAGCCAACGGAATGCACCTTTCCCAAGCCTTGCCCATAATAGCGGATGCTGAAACAAAGGGCAGAGTGCACGCTTCCCTTGACTTTCCTAACCCTTGCCTGCGCCACAGAAGCTGCCGCGGAGGCAGGCAAGGACCTCATCCACAAATTACTCTTCTCCAAAAGCACTCTACTCCAGCCTAGTCTCATCTAGTCCAATCTACCGGCCCGCTGTAAATCTATGCTTAACCACACTACTTTTGTGTCTGTGATCTTATCCAGCTACTTATCTATCTGAGACATAGACATCACTTTGAGGGGTCCTGCTTTTTCTACGGGGACAGCTGAGGCAAGATAATGGCACTGGCAATCCTTGTTCACCAGTCATTCCTGGATAAACTTAAGTATGTTGACTCTTTGCGTTTTGGGGTTTTCATCATGTCCAAAAATTGACATGCAACCGGTTGATTTTCTGCATGGGGCCTAAATCTGGTCAAGATCAAATATGACACAACGGACCGCCTGCTGACCAACGCTGTCATTCTGTTTCAATCGTTGACTAGGACAGGGATGAAGTTTGGGCAAGGCCTTAAAGCGCCCCTATTCCTCTTCAGGTGCCATCATCTCCCCAATTGAACTGTAAGAAATGGTCCGGACGCCCAAATGAGCGGAGGCTCCAGCAATCTAATGCTTGTTTGCAGGACTGAGTTTGTTGCACTGCCTTATCCCGAAATATGATTCTTGATTCCTAGAGGTTTGCCAAGGCCAAAAGGGCAAGCCTCGGGGTTTTGGCCCTTTGGGGCCCGTTGACAAGCGAAAAACAGAGAGATTGATTATTGCCAATTTTTGGACATGATGAAAACCCCAAAACGCAAAGAGTCAACAAACTTAAGTTTGGCAATGTAATCATACTTGACTGTGATTGGTTAGCCTCGATTGACCATTTACGTGCTCAGCCAACTTCCACCAGTGAAACTTTGGAGGCAACAAGGTCTGGTTAGCCATTCTCTGATAGGGTTCCCAAACAAGAGCTTTTGCCAGTTTCCAGTAAGCGCAGTCTGAGCAGGGCAAGTGCATGGTTGACAGCGCGTTGCCCGCGATCAGACACCCTGCGTTTGTTCACAGCCACCGCAACATGTCACTCTTCCACCAGGGGTCAAGCATTATTGACCGCCGAAGGGCAAGTAACACAAATTCACTGCGTCACTGTTGCTGGCTATTGTAGCAACGCGCCCGTGTTTCAGATTTTTGTTCGAGACACGCAGGCGCAAGCATTGAACAACAACAGAATTTACCAGCAACGGTGGACGCTCATCCCGCCTTACGCTGGCCGCTCACTTCGAACGAGGCGAGACTCCAAAATCGGGGAAGGGCTTCAGTGTCGGCCTAGAACTCATCGCCGTAGCCTGACATGTTGCTGGCCTGAAGAAAGAATCTTGTTGTGCTATCAAACTGCGGAAGGCCACTTTGCTGAGTAGATTCAGACGTTTCACCGGCATGAGAATACTCCCAAGCAACAAACAGGACAAACACAGGTGGCCCGTGCTCCTCAACCACATCATATTTCAACACGCAAAGTCATTCAACACATTATCGCTTCAGCCGGTCAGGTCGGCCAGACTGCTCAATGCCAACGCAGTCACCAACCATCCTCGCCTTCCTCTTCGCCCTCTCCTTCGGCCGTCTCGATGCCGACCTCCTCGTAGTCCTTACTTGGTTAGCGGCCCGGGAAGGACCAAATAGAATACGTCCCCAACGCAAAATAAGACGTCCCCACGAAAGGAACCTTCACAAGAAACGCCACAAGGCTTTTTGCCGAGGTCGCTATATTGGTTTAGTTTGCCCGCTATATTGGTTTAGTTTGCCCGCTATATTGGTTTAGTTTGCCCAGACCTTTGTTGATTTGAAAGGAAAGATAAAATTGGATGCGGCTTGACAAAGCTTCCTTCTCCAGGGCCGCCAAATCCTCTCGCGCCTCTGAGAACTCCCCCTCCTCCATACCCTCCCCCACGTAGTGGTGGACGAAGGCACGCCTTGGAATTGCTTCAAGCCACACGCCAATTGGTCGACACGTACTCCGCTTGGGCGTGCTCAAATGGATGAACACAAAACCATTTCGAACCTTCGTGCTCTTGGTGGAATCCCACAACCACGCTGTTCAAGAACAACTCCAAGTGGACAAACATCCCTTCGGCAGCGCGCGTTGCGGCCAAACATAGGGGATCCTTGTCGGGCAGGAAAACAAAGAGAAACCAACCGCTCAAAGCGGTACCCCACATTGTGTGACACACACACACACACACACACACACACCCGCGATAGACTGCCGCGCTACGAACAATGGGGCATCCTGAGACCGAACAAAAAATGAACCATTGTTTGTTAGCCCCGTCCTTACACGCAGGAGCCAACTGCAGTGCAGGATGCTCAGACAACGAGAAATTACATGCTTGCAATGAAGCTGAACCGACATTTGACTTCCTGCGCCCCAGAATGGTCTGGGGAGCCATATGTGGGTGCATTCACCATTTCTGTCGTAGCAATATGGGCCATTCCCGTGACCCCTTTACTATTTCCAGGGAATTCCCTCGGCATATTTTCCGCAACCATGTGCGGGTGGGTCCCTGGACAAGCCCGGAAGAGATGATCCCTGCGAAGATGATGGTCAGGAGGCAAGATTCAGTCTTGATGTCGGCATGCCCACGAGACTCATGGGCCAACAAAACCCTTCCAATTCGCTGTTAGATGGAAAACATCTGCAATTGTTGGCAGATCACTTGCCAACAAATATGCCAGCACATATTTCCCTGTATGTCCCTCTCAACATCACCTCACCCAGTAGGAGGCTTGACTAACAGAGGCCCAGTAAGTGATGTCTAAGATGGCTTCAAAGGGAAACGAAAGGACCCCTGTTGCAACAATGCGAGGAAAACCAGTTGCCACAGACTCTCGTGAGTCATGCATCCCTCAATAAAAGCAAGCTAAGTCATTCAAAGGCATCTTCCAGTTCCAATGAAGTATGGCATACTGAAATATGCCATACACGAATCGACGGCTTTATGCCCCCATGCTTGAATATTGCGATATTGTGTCCAAGAAAACATCGGTGCCAGCAATGAGTTCAGCTAAATTTGCAACGAGGATCTTGCTGTACATCAGGTCGAATTTGTGGTCAATGCGGGAGAAGACTTCCGCGATGGCCGTGCTGTTGGAAATCATACAGCACGCACGCATGACCTTGGCCAAATCACCACCAGGCACCACCGTAGGAGGTTGGTAGTTGATGCCACACTTGAAGCCAGTGGGGCACCAATCCACAAACTGGATGGTGCGCTTGGTCTTGATGGTGGCGACCGCCGCATTCACGTCCTTCGGTACAACATCCCCGCGGTACCTGTGCAGAATTGATAAACATCTACATTTCAGCAATGAGTTTCGAGAAGCCATGCTAAAATGTAAACGTGCGCGCTATTGCATGCACTCACACAGTCTCATTGACACGCTCACATACCTTCCACTTAGAATGAACAACTCGCACGCACGCACGCACGCACGCACCCACACACACACACACACACTCGCCAAACACAAAATTACACTTGCGCTTTCCGATTGGCCGAGGCGCATCATGCAGCAAGCCATGTACTTGCCGTGGCGAGGATCGCACTTGACCTCACTTGTCCAAAGGGCAGGCAAAAAACACAACAACACCTAAACACCTTGTTGGATTGCAACTAAAAGTTGAGCCGAAACAAACAACCTTCTGATTGAGCAGGCAGGTTTGGACTGAGTGGCCATCATTGAGGCAGGCTCAAACACGGACATGGTGATCTCTGCCACAGAGAGCTGCTCATGGTATGCCTTCTCTGCGGAGATGACGGGGGCAAAGGAGGTGAGCATGAAGTGGATGCGTGGGTAAGGGACAAGATTTGTCTGGAACTCTGTGATGTCGACGTTCAAAGCCCCATCGAACCTCAAGCTCGCTGTCAGCGAGCTGATAATCTGAGCAATCAGCCTGTTCAGATTTGTGTAGGTTGGGCGCTCAATGTCCAAGTTCCTGCGACAAATGTCGTACAACGCCTCATTGTCCTTGTTGCTCCAAACTTGTCCAAACACACCCACGCTTAACAACCCGTTGTGGCATTGCACAATCAGGGGTCTGCACTTAAACAAACAGCATCATTGATGATGTTTCGTCATGCCTGTACATACGATGCTAGAATAGAAACCGCCAAGGTGAACAAAAACACAGGGCGACGTGTCTATTCAAACAATACAGCCCAGGAACGTACATGATGGTCACATCCGTGTGCTCGAGCAGAGAATGAACGCAAAGGACAGTGTTGTATGGCTCTACCACTGCTGTTGCCACCTGTGGACACGACCAAACTGTGAAGGAGATCTTGCTCTTTTTACCATAGTCCACGGACAAGCGCTCCAACATCAGGCAACCCAAGCCGGATCCCGTCCCGCCGCCAACCGCATTGTACACGCAGAAACCCTGCAAGCCGGTGCAGTTATCGGCCAACTTGCGGATTCCTGAATGGCACCGTATTCTTCTCCGAGAGTATTAGGCTATCGGAGCAGAACCCCTTTGAATTGAAATCGACAAGATTGCCCCCGAGAATCATCATCATGGGCAAAAACTGATCCTGCAAATATCAAACTTAAAACTTGGCCAAGTCCAATGGGGTGCGGTCTAAGACCAAGTCCACAATCTCCTTGCCGATTGTGTAGTGTCCGCGTGCCTAAATGTGATCAAACTCTTGATGCACAAAAATGGTTGCTGCTTATTGGGTGACGCCAAACAGTTGCAAAACAAACGTACGCATTGAATTCGGCATTGCGGCGAAATTGTTTGCCGCGTCTTCCTTGCCAGAGATGAGCTGCTCTGGGTGGAAGAGCTGACGGTAGGTGCCCGTGCGGACTTCATCAACGACAGTCGGCTCCAAGTCGACCATCACACAACGAGGCACGTGCTTGCCGGCTCCAGTCTCACTGAAGAAAGTGTTGAATGCCTTAGCACGGGGGTATATTATTGAACGTGCCGCGCACCTCGGGGATGTCACGACACCGCGCCGCAAGGCAGCAATGCTTCCTCACGAATGAATGCCGACACACACCTGACAAGGCGGAGCCGGGCCCGTGTCCTCAAGA